GGTAGCATAGTGGCTAAGGCACTTGACTGCTAACCAGAAGGCTGGTGGTTCAAACCCACCAGCCACTCCTCGGAAGGAAGATGGGGCAATCTACCTCCCTAGTGATACTGCCTCGGAAACCCAAGGAGGGCTCACTATGAGTCGGGTCCCACTCGGCACATAACAACAACAACAGTGTAGTAGAACTCTGCATTGAAATCAAGGAGGCCTGGAGGCTAACCCTAGTCTCTGATCCCAGGACTCCCTCTCACTGCTTATCACCTTACTGGTCAGTCACTGTAAAAACCGCAAGGAGGCCACATGTTCTGACCTCCTCTAATCCCACAGAAGAAGACAGAATCACCATCAATAGCCTAAGGCCTATCCTGCCAGGCCAGACATGCTGCCTCCCTCCAGCCCTTTCTCCAACCGTTCCTCCCAAAGCACCCACCACCTCTCTCCTGGGTTCGCTAATTTGCTGCAGTAGCCACAGAGAACTCACAGATTATGGGGTTTATTAGGGAAGCACCACAGGCTACAATTCAAGGTCAGGAAAAAATGCTCAGTCTCTCTCCCAGCCCACCGTCCCTCAGCCAACAGTCTCTCACAGTCTCTTTCCCAGCAGTGCTGGTCCCTTGGTGTCTCACTCAGCAATGCGTGTCTCAGGAGCCCGTGTCTCTTTTGGCAGCACGTCTTCCTCAACCAGCGATCAGAGAGATTCTGCCTCTAGGAGGCCTCCTTTTGAGCCCAGCAGAGTGGCCAAACTAGGCAATCAGCATCAGAACTCTAAGCACCTGAGAGAGAGCCTCCCATAACATTGCGCTGTGCCACACCCAACAGAAATAACCCAGGTGGATAACATTTACAATCAGGAGCTCCTCAGTTGCTCATTCCACCACTGAGTTTACAATGTCTTATGGGTAGAAAAGCCATAGTAAGTAAGTTACTACACTGCAGTCACCAAGTCTGGAGTTTTTGACTAAACAGTGTCACTCACACTTACCTGTTGTTGTTTTCATTACTGGTTTGCCCTGGCGGTGCAACGGTTAAGCATTCAGCTGCTAATTGAAAAATCAGAGGTTCAAACCCACCAGCCACTCTGTGGGAGGAAGACATGACAATCTGTGCTATGAAAGATCACAGGCTAGAAAACTACAGGGCAGCCCTGCACTACCACATAGGGTCACTGTGAGTTGGAATTGACTGAATGGCACACAAAAACAAACGTCAAATTCTTGCCTTCCGTTTGAGAGACCTGGGTTTGATTCCCAACTAATACACTTCGTGCACAGTGACCGTTCGTCTGTCAGGGGGGATGTGTGTTACTATGATGCTGAGCAGGTTTCAGCAGAGTTTCCAGACAGACAGTAGGAAGAAAGGCCTGGTGATCTACCTCCAAAAATCCTGGAAACCCTGTGAATCACAACATTTGGTCTGCAAATAATTATGGAAACGGTGCCAGACCAAGCAGCATTTTGTTGTGTTGTGCCTGGAGTCACCATGAGTCAGGGGCTGACCCAACATAGCTAATAACAAACTGGTTCCCAGACTCTCCTCCCATTCTCCAGTCAACAATAGTTATTGAGCTCCTACTGCATGCCAAGCATTGTGCCAGGAGCTGAGTAGACAGGGGTGAATTAAACAGATAGGACTCCTCTTATTGAGGTATAAGTGGAGAGTGGAGTTGAGTCCCCAAAACTGAATTCCACCCTTCCTCACTGTGTAGCAGTGACTGTGATTTTCGGACCTGACCTCGGCCCTAGGATTAAATTTCTAATTAACCCTAAAACAATCAAATCCAGCCCACTTGTTTGGTCAGAATTTCAGACTTAAAGCAACCAGTAAAAGCATTCCTTTTGATGAGTGGGAGGAACCTGTAACCTAATTTGTATGCTCTGACTGAAATGAAGGACTCTGGTTGCTGGGAGAGACTTGCTCTCTCTCTCTCACTAACTGAAGGAGTCGGCAGGTAGCATTAGTTCCTGCTGGCAGCCATCTTGCTTTCAGTATAGTGGAGAGAATGAAAGAATATAATATCCTAAACTGCTGACTCACCCAGCCCTGAAGCTCATCTGACTTCTGAATTAACACTTACATGAAATAATCCAAAATCCTTTTTATTGAAGACTAATTGAGTTAGCCTTGGAATGCCTACAGCTGAATGCATCCAGTACAGGCATTAACCAAGCAAAAAACAAAAACTCACTGCCATCAAGTTGAATCCCATTCACAGCAACCCCCTCTTGGGTTTCCGAGGTAGTATCTCTATGCCCAACCTTCCTTCTGAGGAGTAACTGGTGGGTTTGAACTGACAGACTTCTGGTTACCAGTCAAACACCTTAGGCAC